ATGTAGCTGTATATTGAATAAACGTGTTATTGCACAGGTATATCTTGAAACAGCGTTATCATAGAATCTTTGAAAAGCAGACAGAATAATATCGATGTTTATATCGTTTATCGAAATTTATCTCAACTGTTGTTTAAATAAAATTTAAATTGCTCTGAATTGTTTATAATAAGATGATAAATATTGTGAGTGCGAATTTGGGTTAAGTTTCGAAAAGTAATCTTGTGGATGATATGTTTTATAAAGTCAGACACATGAAAAGTTAAGTTAATGAATAATAAGGAAATATGAGAATGTATGCACCTATTTACATGATACGACTGCCTCGTTGGCCGAGTGGTCACAAGTGCTACTGCTGGGCAAGGTGTCTCTGGTTGGATTCCTGGGCCGGGCAAAGTATTCCTGAGATTTTTTCAAAAAATCTCATAAGTAGCATGGAGTCTGGAATTGTGCCCGGTATATGGCAATAGGCTCACCCCCTATAAAATGGGACTCATTACATAAAATAAGGAAAAACATAACATCACGCCTTTTATCCCCAAAGGAGTAGGCGGAGGTGCACATTATGCCATTGTACAATGTAACACCCATTTTTCACTATTTATGTCTCATAGTCCCATGTAGGTTATAGGGGGTGAGCCTATTGCCATATACCGGGCACAATTCCAGACTCCTTGCTACTACTGAGATTTTTTTTTCCCAGTAATACTTTGCACGACCCGGGAATCGCACCCGAGGGTTGCCCGGCAGTCGCACTTGCGACCACTCGGCCAAAAACCTATCTAACACAAACCGAGCTACTAACAAAAGTTGTGAAATTATATATCGCGTTTCTCAACTTGCGTACTTAGTAGTATGGCAGGCAAATATTACTAAAACTGTTTTGCAATTAAAATTTGATACGTCCATAGGGCATTGAACCTAGGTGCCTTACCTGCGTAGGATCAACTCGCGATTGAAAGTAAAGGGCTCTGAAGGCCTAGTACGAGTACTGTTGTACGTTTAACTAGACCGAAATGTTACCACTGATTGGTTTATTTATTGGAGCAGGCCAATTAGAGCGCCGACCGTGATAATGTTTCGGTCTCGAGAAACGCGAAACAAACTTAAGATTAAGCCCTCTCTGATCCGTAAGTGGGCGTAAATTGTGAAACTAGCATCTGATTTAAGTTCGTCGTCCTTGGTATAGTACTTACAAATTAATGTCCATTGTGTAATGCACCTTATATGGCTGCTTATATGGTTAACTGTACCTTGAAAATGTAATATTTTGACAAAGGACCGGATGAAATAAATATAAATGTAATTTAAATATTTACTTATTCAGGCTTGTTGGTAATTGCTTACTGATTTTGTTTCTAATTTCAATTTAATCAATGCAACATCTTTATTATTGTACATATAAAAAATGACGATTTCGTGAGGAAAACAATCTAAATTTAAATGATATTTTTTAAATAATATACTAAAAATAATTACCTATAGAGATATCATTGCTTATATTATAGATATATACCATTAGGACAAAGGGCTCGTACACAAAACTGTGCGAACTCCCTCTATAATACGCATTGCCAGAACTTGCGAATCGATTTGTATCGCGCACCAAAATCTTATCGTCCCAAATTATTATTTTTTTTCTTTTTTCTGTATCTCCTAAGCAATAACAGAAGTGCACTCTTCTTTTTACTTTTTACTATCCATGTCACGACCCAGTTTTCAATTTAAAATAATGTTTAGTACAATTGACGATCGTCGAAGGAATGGTCATCCTAGGAGACGCCATGTCGCACGAAATCGCATCGCAGGAATTCGCAACGTAATTTATTGCGTTGCTAATTTGCATCACATCGCATTGCAGTTTTGTGTACGAGCCCTAAGTACGAACAGGCGTTCCTACTTAGTACTCAGTCATAGTAAGTAGCAATGCCTACTTATTAGCTAGATAACATAGTGGTCTTTAAGTATTAAGTATATAGAGATATTTTGCAGCGTCCAGTGTCGGGTTGGTCACTAAGTGAGTCGCCCAGTAAGCACCAGATTAACCCATTTCCCTCAATCAAGTAGAATCACGCGCAGGAAATTGAGAATTTACCTACCCTAGTTCGTTTATTTACCTACTAAAGTATCATTCACACCTAGATACAAGCTAGTTTGTTCTCTGCAAGCCTTAAAAAACAGATGTACACTTGTAGGTATCTATACTCTTTAAAATATCATATTATAAAACAAAATGTAAAACGGTATTATCATTTTACATGAAAATATCGATCGTTCCACGGTAAAATTTTGAAATGATCTGTCGTTGGCGGTATTTACGAACCGATACAACCTTGAAACCTTCAAGAAATTACCGTATTTTAAAAGGCTGGCAATGCACCCGTGTCTGATTTTACGCATGTCCATGGGCAGCACTGATCCTTTACCATCAGGTGGATACAGATCATCATTAGTTTGCCCGCTATTCCATAAAAAAAACAAAGCTACTTTTTTCCATCTTTGTAACTACATCTATCAGTACCATCAAGCAATATTTTCTTTGAAAAAATGTCTTTAAGTCTTTGCTAAAAATAATTAGATGTCATTGACAATGTTAAATCAAAATCCATTAGTATCTACACTAACATAATCGTAGGAAAAGAGTATTTCTATTATTAAAATACACAATATTGAATTGAACCTAAGAGTTCAAAAACTTTGAACTATAAATTGTAAGAGCCCTTGCAACAATGCCCCGTAAGTCTTCGCTAAAAATAATTACATGTCATTGACAATGTTCAATCAAAATCCATTAGTATCTACACTAACATAATCGTAGTAAAAGAGTAATTATTTTATTTATTAAAATACACAATATTGAATTGTACCTTAGAGTTCAAAAACTTTGAACTATAAATTGTAAGAGCCCTTGCAACAATGCCCCGTTGTAATAACTGAAACTTTTTGCTCAGAACTTTTACGTTTCTCTGAAGCATGTTGAACTGTTATTATTAAATAGAAGTAATCTTTCACGAAATGGCTAAAGTCTTGGATCAAATATTAAACATTTAAATTAATGATCACATTATGGAATTAATTCAAATGGCGGAAGGAGAGAGAAAGGTAGAGAAGATATTACAGTTCGTGTATAAAAACTAAATATTACGGAAAATGGACGAAACAAAAGTGCGATGAGTTAAAAGACAAAATAATTATTTTATATACTACAACAGACTTCAAGAAAAGACGAGGTAGCTTAATTAATATACTAAAACTTCTCAAATCAAGAAACTAAAAAAAAAAAAAATTCTTGTCATGTTGGAGGTATGTAGGAATCGTAGTAAAATTGGCGTTCCATAGTCTCTGTCTACCCCCATGGGAGACAGGCGTGAAGCTTTATATGTATGTAAATCTTTTCCTAAATGTAACAAACACTTTTCTGAAAACTGCATCGAAATCGGTTCAGTCAATTACGAGATAATTCCGCACAAACATACATACAGGTCGAAATTGAGAACCTCCTTTTTTGAAGTCGGTAATTTGCTAAATGACACAGCTATCTAATTTGGTACAAAGAAACTATTGATTTTAACATGGGTATGTACGTAGATATTTAAAACGTACCAGATAACATAACATCAAGCCTTTTATTCCCGAAGGGGTAGGCAGAGGTGCACATTACGGCACTTAATGCCACTGAGGTACAATGTAACACCCACTTTTCACTATTTATTTTACGAGTCCCATGTACTAGGGGGTGAGCCTATTGCCATATATCGAGCACAATTCCAGACTCCGTGCTACGACTGAGATTTTAAAAAAAACCCAGTAATACTTTCCCGACCCGGGAATCGAACCCGAGACCCCTTGCCCGGCAGTCTCACTTGCCACCACTCGACCAATAAAGCAGTTAAAAAGTAACTATGAGGTATATAATACCTACATAGTATTTTATAACTCTCGTATCTTCTTAAAGGGCAATGACATTATTTAATTATTGTCCAATCATTTTTTTAACCAAATAGATCAAATTAGCAATAACAATAAAAAAAAAACTACAAGCGATGAGTGATAATCACGAGCAGAACAGATGTTCTTACAGACATTATCAAAACATATTTACTGATATAAAACTGATACATACATAAAAATGTAAATAATAAATAATCAGTTGATAGAAAAACCTCTCGTGTGGAATATTTTATTGTTGAAGATAATTTTAGACGGATACAAATATAATACTACTACTAGATTTAGCGATAAGTGTAAACACAAGTAGATCAAGAAGTAACATATAAACAAAAAAAAAAAGTAGGTACTGTTACTAGATAGACTGAACCCAAAATGGTGAATAAAAAAAATTTTGTCTGTCTGTCAATGAAACTTAGTGTGAGTGTACTTTAATATCTTAGGCACAACACTGCGCACTTTATATCCCCAAAAATGGTCGCGGAGAACCTAACGGGTAACCGGGGCTCCGACTCGACGTGCAGGAGAAGGAACGGGGTGGTTTTTAGTCAGTAAGAGTCTGACACTCCCTCCCGCCTCACCCAGACGGGAGCAGTCATTCGATGATTTTCCCCACTTAAAAAAAAATCCCCAAAAATACAGTACGCGAAAAAACAAACTTAATTGTGCGGCTCAATCCCTAGACACAGTTACGTTATCAAACGCAAATATAAGTTTGTCGAATGTTAGATTGCCCGCAGTGGATTTTACGCTGTAACTGTAGGGCCGATGGTCGAAATTAACTTGAACCGACATTATAATTGTGAAAATACGTAAGTTTTTGTGTATGATTGTTACTCAGTAACATCAAAACGGCTGAAGAGACCGGGATGAAATTTGATGGATGGATCAAAGGATGGATGGATGAAAGATAAACAGGCTACCCTTGGGAGCGCGGGCGAAGCCGCTGGCAGATGCTTGATGACTGCATTTTTTCCTAGAAACTGATTGAACACATTAGAAAAAAAATATCGTGACAGGATTGAATAATAATTCTATTTTCATTTCCCCAGGTTGCGTGATTCCCCAGCGTTACATACTCGGAGTTATGGGCTTGCTAGGGGTGTGCAACGCCTACACGATGCGGGTGTGTCTCAACCTCGCTATCACACAGATGGTCAACCGCACGAAGTCAGGTGGATCACATTTCGTCGACCCTGATGCCTGTCCAAGCGATGATCTTATTAACAACGTTACTTCAGTTGTGGTGGAGAAACCAGTAAGGATATCTTCTTCTTGATTCTAATTTAACATAACATCACGCCTTTTATTCCCGAAGGGGTAAGCAGAGTGCACGTTACGGCAGTTAGTACCACTGTACAATGTAACCCCCGCTTTTCACTATTTATGTTATGAGTCCCATGTAATCGGGGGTGAGCCTATTGTCATATACCGGGCACAAATCCAGACTCCGTGCTACTACTGACAATTTTTTAAAAACCCAGTACTTAATACTTTGCCCGATCCGGGAATTGAACCCGAGACCCCTTGCCCGGCTATCGCACTTGCCACCACTCGGCCAACGAGGCAGTTTACTTAAAAAATAAGTGTGTTACAAAAGAAGTATCCAATAGTTCTATTGTACTGATAAAGTTAAGCCTAATTCTGTTGTATGGTGCAATATTTATGATGGTAATTTATATGTCAATACGACAATTCTGGTTTGCATATTACAATTTAAAACTAAATAGGTACTACTCAATACTATTATTGAAGATATTACTAAAAGTCCTTGTTCGTACGTCAGTGATTTTCCACGGTATATAGTAACATGAGTTCGTAACAATGTTCGTAAAGCACTTGAGTATAGGTACTCATTCCACATTTTTCTAGAGAAAAGTATTAGATACCTATTTTCCGTGTCAGTGACTGAAAACACATATGAGCGTGATGAAAATGATGAATATACAGTTGAAGCTGATTTGTAGGTATTTAGATGTCAATAAACCTAGCTATTCTCGCGGAGTTCCACCCTGGGCTCCTGGTAGTCACAGCGTGATGTTTTAACATATAGCCTTCGGCAATTAAAAGACTAACAAACAAAAAATATTTGTTGAAATCGAATTAGTGATTTCTGAGATTAGCGCGTTTGCACTAATAAATAAACATACTCTTCAGACTTAGATTAAGTATAATATAATATAAGGTCACATTTTTTTTAAATAATTGGAGTAACACAGCATTGGTATATTTGTAGAAATAACTTTAGTTATTGGATGTCTGTACAGTTTTCAATAAAAACCTACTTCATCACGTTAAACCTACTGTAAGTTTATTTAAAAAATAACTTCGTTTGGCGTCATTACGCTTTTCCTACGCCTGCGTAGTACGTTCAGCCCATTATGACGTAGATATGAATATGACCAATTGGAAAAACCGTACCGTTCAACTTTCCTCATTAGAAAACCGCTTCTATTTACCTTTTTACTCTCATAGGTCATTATGCCTAGAGATAAATTTACCGCCTCCAGAGTTTCCATGACGGCAATTAGAAATTGTGATTAAAAGTTTGGATCGCGGTCTAATCACTCACAGTTTGGGGTCGTCCTTATGACTTTGTCAGGACAAAGTTTAGAAGGGATTAGTTCGGCTTCAAGATAGTTTCGACTGAAATATTATGTGAATATGTTTTATGTATGTAGTAGTATGTATTTGCAGACAGTAGTGGTGTACTTAATTATAAGGTATTGTATTAACATTTTGTATGCAGCATTAGATATAAATAGCTATTCAAGTTTACTATGACGCCAATCCACAGGCCGGTGCCGCATCGTCTACCGATGCGATGTATATGCAGTGACATATTTTGATATTCACAGAGTTGGTTTTAGTCAAATACGTGTTCGTTATCAATAGAATATAGATCGGTTCGGAAAATACAGGGTGGGATAGAACGTGTGAAATACGTGGTTATAAATAAATCGACCGGAAAAATATTGCTCTAAAAATTATGGACCAAACAATTACTAAGCAATTTGCCAAGTAAACAAAACACTTCCTCCAATTTATGTAGAGGTAGATAAACAACCGTGGACTTCTTTGTTTTATCACAATGGCTCATGGACAAAGCCATGACCCGGATTCCGGTCCCATAACTAGGTCCCATGGGAACTCCTGAAGGGTCAATTTAATATGTCAATCTTCGTTCTCATTTTTCAGCTGTAGTTTGTGCAATTATAATAGTATTTTATTAATTGATGGTGGTCAAGTGGGTGTTAATCGTTAATGATTATTACAACTTCCTGTCTTGGGAATTAAAATGTTTAAACGCTTCGTGGTCCTTGGGTACGCTTATGTTTTAATGGTACGTACGTACCATAACATGTAATTAAACTATTTATTTAACGATCTAGAGGCTCGTGTAAATGGTGCTTTGTATACATAACTGGATCTCAAGAGAACTGGACGTCAATTGATTTTATAACACTGTTATAATAGTGTAAATAATATGGAAGTAAATATGCATACAGTCCTAAGTCTGTCTATAGGAAAATCTCTAAAGTAAATAAATCGTAATGTTTAACTCACAAGCAAAAATAAAGAAAATGATATTCCACACAATACTTCCCACAAAACAGAAATACAAAATTTAGTCTAAACAGAATAAAAGGACCATGCAGCAACAAGCAGTTTCATTTTGCCAAATGTGTGCCAAATGTAATTACAATGGCTGTTTATTTATGTATTTATTTAAACACAGATGCATTAAAACCACATGTAGGGAAGTAAAATTCATTTATATTGTTGATTTATTATTTAAATGTAAGCGAATACGATGATATCATGTGTGTCCTCATTTGTATGTCCTTTAGAGAGTGTTATGAGACTGTGCTGCAAAATTTACATTTTAAAAGCATTTGACTTTTTGGCACGGAACTTATTCACTTATTATGCTGATGCATGTTCGATAAACAATGTGTTGTGTAGACACGTTTTAGTTCGAAGTTAGTGACAGATTATTATAAACGTCGATAGAATGGTAATTTGTTTTGATGGATAACGAAACAATTTTCTTAAGTAGAGGAGTTTTATGGGAGTAAACCTATTTTGTACGTCACATGAAAATGAGAGGAAGCCTTTTGACATAATAATTTCTACCATACTCTTTTACGATCAAGGTTTAACTACCAGAACAAGTTCAATTAGTAGAAGATTAGGCTATAAACCTCCACATACGACATGATATAAAACTTCCTTTAACCGTAGATCCAAACAAGATTCTACAGGCAGTAATAACTATAATTATGTTAAGTTAGCAACTAAGCAACTAGTTAATAAGAAACTCGTGTAACTAGAAGCGCATGCAGAATAATATAAAGACCACGATGTAGGCGGATCGAAGGACCACGTAGGACCATGTAGGACCACAAGCAATAATATAAATAAAGATAATTTACATGCCGTCCTTTAATTAATAATCACCTCAAGTACATCTAATGATATCATAGCGACCTTAAATTATGTTAAAATGGCGGAACAGATGTTACAGCAGGTATTAAAAATAGATTAGATTTACTTGGTGTAAACAATGCGAGAGTTGGCGGAACTAAATTCACCTTTGTCAGGCTATAAAAGATTGTATGTATAAAACGGTTAGGTACGAAGTGGTCTTTGTATTATGTATGCAAGTAGGGTCCTAACCACAGATATCTCTTTGTGGTTTTGAGAGGGCAGATTGAAATGAATTGGTTCAGATGCATTGTTGTCTTCAGCCCTTTAAAGAATAGAAGAACAAATAAAGTTAAACAAACCTAAGACTATCATACGAATTTGGTTCAATTTCTATTAATATTCTTTGCAGACTGTCAAAAGCCTTAATACGTATAGGAATTAGATGGTCCATTTGTATGCATCTTATTTGAATAAATGCCAGCTCTATTCTTCTAGACGTGGCAGATTGAAAAATAAATGAAGACAAGAACGTATATAAATCGAAAAGGCTATTTAATTAACATTGCATTTTATTACTCTTTGCATTTGCTAACCTAACAGAATACTAAGACTTCTGTGTACTTACTTTTAATTAAATTTTATAAAAGCTTCTGATTTTTCTAAGAGAAATATTTCCTTCGTTATTTCAGTCTGTTTATTTTTTATGTATACCTACCGTTTATTGATACGACCTATACATATGTATCTTATATTCTGAATATATAGCTGAAAAGTTTATTTGTTTATTTGGACGCGCTAATCCCAGGAACTTATTGGTTTAATTTGAAAAAATATTTTGCTTTGGGTAGTGCGTTTATCCAGCAAGGCTATAGGCCATAAAACATCACGCTACGATTAATAGGACCCGAGCAGAGTGGGTGCAACCGCCAGTACTTGATAAAATGAAAAGTTAGAAAATAGAAGTATCTAAATCATCTCCAAAATACAAAAAAAACTATTTCACTATTCAAATATGGCCGCTTTTACAAAAAACTTTTTCTTTTCAGTACGCAATCTTCGACTGGGATGAGAAGACACAAGGGCTCATACTTAGCGGCTTTTACTACGGATATGCAGCGACCCAAGTGCCGGGAGGGTACTTAGCCGAGAAGTTTGGGGGCAAATGGACCCTCGGTGTGGGTCTCCTAAGTACTGCGGTGTTCACGTTCTTAACACCGGTTGTGATCAGAGCTGGCGGCGCTACATGGCTGTTTATACTGCGTATTTTGCAAGGAATGGGAGAGGTGAGACTTACTTATTTGAATTTGAATAAGTTATTAAAGAAAATTATTCTTAAAAGAATATTCACTTTGGTGAATGACAAAGGTAGTCAAAAAATATACCCATACGGTTATCGTGACTTCTATATTCATTACACAAACTAGTAAAAGAATATTAATAACCATCTAACCTGGCAAAAAAGAAATTGGTCTCGCCATTTATACCTTGCTTGGATTTCCACGAACATTTCAAGACCATAATTATTCAAATCAGTTCAGCCGTTCTCGAGTATTAGAGACACTAGCGAACGGAAATTCATTTTGATTAATATAGATTACTTATAAAAGTACCTAAAATATTTCTTGTATCCAATTTATAGGACAGCATTTGACCCCGTTTGTTTTTTAAATATGAACCGTAGGTATGATCTGCAGGCAAACCGCGGCAAGAAACGTTTATATTAACAGCATTTGATGAATAAGAACAGCTGCTCTAACATAATAAAAATAGAAAATCATAAGCAAATAGCATAATTATACCAGTTGTCATATTACCAGTAAAATAATAATAATAATAATGGGCATATTTATTCTTGGACTTTTCCTTACGAGATATAGAAATGTAGGTTAGGTCAACTGGGGTACTGCTATTTATTATTTTATCCTCTTAAGTTATTTTACAGAGAATGACGTGCGAACGAAATATGGTAATTATTTATTCAAGATGAAACAGCAGTAATTTGTCAGTCTCCCCCAAAAACTTGACCCACTTTTTTAGCGTTTTTTTTACTGTAATTAAGCTCTTCATATTTATTTTTTGTCCCGAACAATGTTGGTAAAGCCAAAGATAACAAAATTATGTAAAATTATGAAACAAATTTGTTTTCTTTGTTTGTTTTTTTTTTCCAATTTTTTTTTCGTACTTTTCAACATGGTTTTGATATTACCTAATTATATTCTGTTTGGTAAGATCATGTTTTGATTCGCTTAATTATTATATCATCAAGCGAATCACAGCGATCTTTTTATACAATATCGTAAATCGAATTGTGTTTTTTATTTATTTATTTTTTAAGTACATATTAAGGCATCCGATACGGAGCTGCGGAGAACGTACTTAAAAAGGTTACCGGGGTTCCAACTCGAAGTACAGGAGTAGGAACAGTGTGGTTTTTAGTCAGTCTGACACTTCCCGCCTCACCCAGGCGGCGAAAGATTTTTGATAACATTCCCCCATTAAAAAAAGTATCAATTAAGGCATGGCTTGTTTAAAACGTTTGACTGTATACGAAAAAAACTCGAAAAAGATATCTATTATTTGACCTACATTTGTAAGGTCATCTGCACCTAAGGAAAATTATTCACAAATAAGCAACAAGGCTATAGGTGAATTTATATGTAATTATGCTTACAAACCATTAGAAACTTAATAACTAATAACATCTGTATGTATTATGTAGATACTTATGTCAATATTACCTACATATCGCTTAGAGACAGAATATTGAGTTCCATAATGCAAAATATATACTAGGTACTATAGATAACCACAATAATGTTTTACTCTTGAGTCAAGTGTTATTGCGTCACTTTCAATAAAATACCTATGTTAATACTGTATCTATGTACACACTATGAAAAACCAATATAAATTGACCATTCAATGTGTTGTTAGGACATATAAAGGGAGACCACGATAACCTGGTTTCATATAGCTTCGTGTGTGTCCTACATGTATTTTCTACGCGTCCCCACTTAGTTAAACAAGCTGATATATTTTATGTGGTATTCGCGATAAAACTGCCATTTTTGCCAATTGTAATCATAATATTTTGTCACCGTTTACGTTTGTTTGTACAAGTTTTAGTAGTGTAGTGTTTACTTAATAAATTCTAGTTTTAGATATATGTATATATTGTCTCAGGTTTTGGTAAAGTTAAATAACATATACTTAGATACATATCATTTGCATGTTTAGTTTGAATTCACATTAAAGAACATATAAAAAGAATCTTAATAAATCAGTCTGATTTACTACCATAGAATATAGTTTCGTGTTTGACAAAGTGCTGTTAGCAATGTAAGAAATTCTTACCGACACCACAAATACAGTTTTAAATGGCGACTGGCATTAAAAAAAAATCGAACAGCCTAAATAGATTCGTTCAAAAATCGATTTTTGGTTCGATTCGTTCAAAAAGCGTCCTTTTCGAAAGCACTTTCATAAATCAGGTGATCTGTGATACAGGTTACATCTACAACAGACACCAGTCTCAGGTTTAGTTGTAAAACGTTAGCTGTATTTTATTATGTAAGTGTGGAAGAGCCATGCTTCGGCACGAATGGGCCGGCTCGACCGGAGTGATACCACGGCCTCACAGAAGACCGACGTGAAGCAACGCTTGCGTTGTGTTTCGTCGTGTGAGTGAGGTTACCGGAGGCCCAATTACCTTCCTCTTCCCCAATCTCCCCAATCCCTGAATCCCCAACGATCCTCAAACTCCTAATCCCCAAAAAGCCGGTGACGCACTTGTAACGCCCTGGTGTTCCAGGTGTCCATGGGTGACGCCGATTGCTTACCATCAGGTGATCCGTTTGCTCGTTTACCGGCTTATTACATAAAAAAATATGTAAATGATGATGAGAGAAATAAATAAATATCATAATAAACAAAAAACGTATGCATACTATAACTTTAATGCACTCTAAGTACAAAACAAGTAGATAATGGAAAATCTTAGTTTTCTAAAGTATTGGAGCATGAATGAAATCGATTCAAAGCGTCATGGGTGAGAGGTTCCATTCATACTTGCATGCATAGTTATATGTACTTTGATATCTATAGGTACATAACATACGTAGTTTTATATAGAGAAGGTCGTACACCTGTGTTACTTTAAATTACCTGTATATTAACAATGACAATTTAGTATTACCTTTTGCAAGGTCTTTTAACTAGAGTAAGGGGCATATATGTAGGTATGTGTGGTTGATAGTAGTATTTATTATCAAGCGCCTGGGAAAATAAGTGCCGCAATGAAATGAGTGGATGAAGATTGTGTACGATTTTGCACAGACACCTATCAACTTTAGAACCTCGCACTTTGAATACGCACATAAAATTATTTTAACTATAGATATGTATAATTATTATAACCACATACTTTTTTCTTTCTTTATTTTGTACTAGTTTTTACCCGCGGCTTCGCTCGCGTCACAAAAGGATAAAAAGTAGCCTATGTGACATATACCAATACACACAGCGCCATCTATACCAATCATTTCGTTTTCCCTCGAGAATATCAAATTTTCCGAGATAAAAAGTACCCTATTATTTAATTCAGAATTCTAACTTCACGTCTGCAAAAATTCAAAGCAATCGGTTTAGTAGTTACGGCGTGAAAGTGGAACAAACAAACAAACAAACTCACTTTCCGATTTATAATATTAGTAAGGATGATCTTAATTATTTTAATAAAACTAAGTTATTGTAAAATTTCTTAAACTAAAGGCAACTTTTGTACATTCTATTCTTCTCAATGACTCTTTTACTCTTCAAAAAAGGGTAAAAATTAACACGAAGTTTCTCTTTGAAGGCAATATAAAGAACTGTGTATTTTAGCTGAAGTGGAATTTCCCTTGCTTCAATATTACCTAGTCATTTCCTCTTTGTTTTATAAAGCAGGAAAAATAAGAGCATGTCGATTGAGATGTACAGTCACTAGCAAATCATTCTACCCCAATCTGTAAATTTTATTCATTGTATTTTCGTCTCTAAATCTGTACAAATAAAGTTGAAAATGTAATAAAGTAATTTATCAGAAAAATATAGTTTGACCTGCTATCGGCCGTCAAAGAAAGATTCTTAACGTCTGTCTGTAAAAGGCTGCTATACTAACTGAGCCGGCTTTGGATAAGGAAGCTTTGAATACAGAGATGAAAGCAAGTATTAACTGAATATAATATTTGTGAAGGAAAAATCCAAGATGGCTCGATGCCGCGAAGAGGCGTTTGGTTAAGTTTTTTTTATTTGAAAATATGGAGGTAGGCAACGAGTGGTATCGATTTACTGCTGAGGGAAAAGTATTCTATTGAAGGCACTAATCGTAAGTGTAGATAGATGATTTATTTACTTCTCACAAATCTGCAGCTCTCAATCATTACACATAACACCCACAAACTATTTTTTAGCCAATTAATTACGGATTTACAATGTAATATACGTAATTAAATAATTCGCTACAGAACTCCACTTGTTAAGTGAGTTATAATTACAAACAAAAGTTTACAATTCACTAACTTTACATGATTAATTTACGTCCTAGAAAAAAAAACAAGAGTAATGATGATAAGAGAGTAAAAACTTACTTAGTTACTTTAAAAAAAATGTAATAGTGAGAGAACCATTACTTACGAAAGTATCCATCCAAGTTACAAATTCTACGTTAACCCAAAAAAGAAATAGAGTTATGAAAACCTACAAAAACAAAATGTTTTTACACAACACAGCTTATGTCGAAGTACTCAAACGCAACTTTAAGTCGCACTTAAGTATAATAGTTCTGTCTCTACAAATTCTTTATGAAATGACAGGGATGGCACGATATTACAGTACAATTTAAATTCATTATTCGGTATTCAAAAAAAAATTCAGTATTCGGTACTGAAACGCTACTCAATTTTAAATTGCGTTTCAGTATTCGGGAGTTAGTTGCGTGTAGTTTAACTTAAACAAAACTAATGATCTCGCCATAAGAGCTCGGGGCTCGGGGTCGAAGTGCAGGAGTAGGAACGGTGTAGTTTTTAGTCAGTAAGAGTGTGACAGAAGTCATTCGATGATTGTCACCCTTATAAAAAAAAATCTCAGTAGTAATACCGCTATCGGTACCTACTAAAACCGATCTCCATACAGGAATAAACTCGAGGTCTATAGCATTTCTGTCAAAAGTCTAAATCGACTTTACAATTTTGTATTAAGGCCTATAATCAATTCAACTGTGAGACAACATGAATAAACAAGTTCTTTATCCCCACAGGGTCCCACAATGCCTGCTCTCATGATCATGTTGGCGAGATGGGTGCCGCCCCACGAGCGTTCGTTCCAAGGAGCGCTGGTATTCGGAGGAGCTCAAATCGGCAACATCTTTGGGTCTTTTATGTCCGGTATACTGCTCGCAGATGGCAGAGATTGGGCTTATGTGTTCTATTTCTTCGGTGGCTTTGGAATCTTATGGTTCTTGTTATGGGTAAGTGAAGATTTTTATTAATTTTATTTAACTTCTAAAGAAGAACATGTAATGATTACCTTAACCATTCTTTAGTTACGATTTTGTTCCACTTTATTGTTGACTGCCTCACAAAAAATTTGAGTGCCTCACTCTAGGATTTTCTCCTGTATCGTGGGTGCATTTATAAACATACAAGTTCACATACACATCACACCCAGACCCGAAACAACAATTTGTGGATCACACAAAGTGTTGTTCCGTGCGGGAATCGAACTAGCGACACGTTGCACGGCAGCCGGTTGCCCAGCCACACCAACCGTCATTTGGAAATAAATTTTATCACAGTCATTTGGACATACATTTGGAAATAAATCAATTAAACTGTCAAACACCAAGCGGTCACCGGTGACCGCAAGCTATTGTTCTATAATTGTGTCTACAAAACCGGTACTCGACGAGTTAATTTTAATAAACATCTCTCACTAATAAAGCATACATAATTACATTTTCCATACCCACAAGCTTAATAAACTTTTTAACCGTGCTTCCATGCAGGGTATTATCTCGACACGAAGCGATATTTCACGGGATTATCGACAAGTTAATCGAAGGGATTGGAAGCACTATGAGTCATTATCCTATAATGGAGAATGAGCTCATACTAGGTACGGTACAGAATACTAAGTGACTAGGAAGTAGTACTTAGATTTATATCGTAGAAGATTATATTAGTTTGTGATACATGAATGGAACTATCCTTAAATGGAATACATTTCCGGCATTTTGATGTTGATCAATGTGATTAGGGTTTAATTAAGAACTCTTTGAACATCGATTGATGATAAATTATGTGTATTGGTGGGGCAGCAGGTTTTAATAGACACTGTTACTAACTTATTTAAATGAATGAAATAAAAATAAAATATTATGTTTTATGAAATAGATAGACTAGACTGCCTCGTTGGTCGAGTGGTCGCTAGTGCAACTGTCGCGCAAGGTGTCTCGGGTTAAATTCCCCCATCGGGCAAGGTGTTACTGGGTTTTTAAAAAAGTTTCAGTCTCCGTGCTACTACTAGTCAGTCTGAAATTGATCCCGGTATACGTATGGCAATAGGCTTACACCCTATTACATGGGACTCATAACATAAATAGTGAGAAGTCGATGTTATATAGTGGCATTTAGTGTCGTACTGTGCACCTCTACCTATATAATGGATTGTGAAATGTTGATTATAGGGTTGAATCTTGATAGTATTATTTTAAACGAGACAGAAGTTATGAAAAATGATTGATGTCCTAAAAATATACAACGTCTCTTATAAGTATCTAGTTTTTTTAATAGACCACTTGCAGTTCAGCATGCTAAGGCTATTACCACATAACCAGACTAAATTGGTACATTTTTTTGCACATAAACCCACTAGGTATATTTTGATTAAAAAGTCAATGTAAGCAACATTCCCCTGTTCTATACACAGGTACGTTAAAAGGAATTTTTCCTAGAAAAATTCTATAAGCAAGCGATTTGATACACAATTTAACGTGGAATACTCGAGAAGCTATTTTCCTCCTAAAATTGCAGCTGCCTGAAAACGCTGTGATTTACCCGTGAAAAGAATTTTTGTTAAAATATTTATCGAACAGTTCATAAAGTTTTTTCAAGCATTATTCGTTAAAGTAATCTCGATGCAGTATGTGTAACAGAAAATGTGAAAGAAATTCGCCTTTAAGGCATGTAATAATTTATTTAAAAACTATGTGTAGAAGAAGAAAAAAAAATAAAGACAAAATAATAATATTATCATTAGGAATTATTCCTATTTTTATCTACTTATTATTTTATTATAACAATAGGGTTAAATTATATGAAAAACAGAAATAATTCGACTATCGTATAGCATAAAAAAAATCACACAATCGAGATGATAGTACTGTGTGCTCAAAATACTGGCAGCAATATCAATATAAATATCAATATAAAAACAACCGTTACGGCACCACCATAATCATTTTCAGCCTTCGATAAACAATAACAAACCGAAGAGGGGTGATCTTATCACGCGTAACAACAAACATTAAATTAAAAAAGTATTCCTAAACAAACTGAATTAATTTAATAGACCAATTAATCATGGTCTTGGTGTTGAAAACCCAATAAATAAAATGAAAGGATTTTGGCAAAAATAGGGAGCTCTGAATAAAATTACTGGGCACGTAAATGCGACCAATAATGGCAAATTGCTGTGTCTTTGGTGCGGCGATAAATTGATCGACGGCTTTATAGGCATTTTACGGTCTCTTTTGCGATAATAGTAAAGATTAGTGTCGAGTGATTGATGTTTATTGGCGCCGAGACTTGGAAGTGATTGTTAGATTTGATTTTCTTGTGTTTCGGCTAAGTTAATGAAGTGGGAATCACATTTTGTTATAAACAAATGTAAAAAATATAGTTGTTTCTGCTTGTAAATTTTTCAGAATAAGATTGATAGCGCCATTTATGGAGTTTATTATTATTTATATACATTTTTCAAAACACGGTATTTAGTCTAATCTTTATAAGAAACAAATTGTGAATTTTAATGTATATTTTCGATTGCACTCATTTTTTTTTTTATGCCATAAGCCGGTAAACGAGCAGACGGATCACCTGATGGTAAGCAATCGGCGTCGCCCATGGACATCTAGAACACCAGAGGCGTTACAAGTGCGTCACCGGCTTTTTGGGGATTAGGAGTTTGAGGATCGTTGGGGATTCAGGGATTGGGGAAATTGGGGAAAGGGAAGGTAATTGGGCCTCCGGTAACCTCACTCACACGACGAAACATAATGCAAGCGTTGCTTCACGTCGGTTTTCTGTGAGGCCGTGGTATCACTCCGGTCGAGCCGGCCCATTCGTGCCGAAGCATGGCTCTCCCACACTTAAAATGTCATCTAAATAAATCGCTAAAATTTAAATACCTTTTTTCCATTCACAGAGTCTCTTCTGCTATAGCACACCCAATAGTCACCCATACATCTCCAAAAAGGAGCTGACGTACTTGAACAACAATGTGACAACGGCTGAGAACATCAACGCCAAGGACCCGGTGCCATGGAAGGCTATCCTCCGATCTGCTCCAGTATGGGCTCTAGTTTGGGCAGCTGTAAGTATAAGGTTAATTTGATAAAACCTAAAGACATGGAAGCGAACGAAGCGTTTCGTTTCGAGTTTCCTTGTAGTAACCGCTAAGGAAAGAAATTTCTGATTGGATCTGTGTTTTCCGAAAAATACAACTTGTGTGTCTTCAAGACCCGAGTGAACAGGATGCTCATAGATATGCGTGCTTCATCGTCGGCCACATCATCGCTTTACACCAGGCGAGATGCTGGCCACACGTCATCCTATTAAATATTTAAAAAAGATCCGTATTTTTTATGAGATAGGAGATAAAGGAGCGAAAGGATTATCTAATGGTAAGCAGTCATCGTCGTTCGTGGGTATTTGAGGAGTCACAAGTGCGTCGCCATCCTTAATAACAGACAATATTATTGATGGATGCAAATGATATTAGGAATTTTAAATGATCGGTTCGATTTTTGAATTTGGTAAAATTTTCATTCCTTTTTAGTTAACTGAATATCGGTAATCGATATTATCATAAGCAACCCATGACAGTCCAAATTTATCATCTATTTGGAATTTTAACTCGATTCTAGATTCGACAATTTCAGTGTTGAAACGTTATGACAAGTACTAAATAGTGACGTTGAGAAATTATTCGATATGGAAATGGAATATTTCTGGATCGAATCTTCTCGTTTATATTTTTACTCTTGTAAACCAAGTATATCAGGAAATTGAATATTTCTGACCGATAATTTAGTTTTGACGATTAATTAACGATCTGAGACTTTTCTTTTATAATTGTGTGTGAAATAAATAAGAAAATGGAGTCATGAAGGAACATGCCAAATAAAATTTATAGATGTATTACGATAATAATTTATTTTATAAATTGTCGCCGTCATCGCTATCGCTGTCGCTGTCACTTTCTGTAACATTTATTATTAAACACACACACTGATTGTTTATCAATTTTTGTGTTCATCACTACACTATTATATGTGGTATCATTATTTCACAAAATGACAGTAGCTAATGTGAAATCTGGAATCGAATTAAAATTCTGACTATAGATGAAAATCGAGTAGCTTCCAAAATGACATTGCAGTTTAGTATCAAATGCTCATATAATACATTTAATTATAAAACTTAAAACAACAACCATAAAGGTAAATTACGGTCTTAAACAGTAGCTTAAAACAAGTATACAACAAATGTAATTATTAAAAAACAAACTTGTTATTATGTAACTTATATTATGATAAGACTGACTGGCAATGATAACATCACATAATAGGTACATACCTAGTCACAATAAAATAACCACAAACCCTATGAAAATGCGGTCACGATGTCGCAAAAACTATAAACAAAGTAAATATTTAAAATTGCGTCATTCTAATATAGATACACACATGGAATGATTTAAAAAAGTAGTATATTATGTAGTTATTACTTTTTACGTAAATTGGCATAGAAAGGAAACTTGAATCCAAACTCAAAAAAATCTCTACAATAACCATAATGCCACAAAGATACAACAACAATCATAGCTATTAAAAGGCACTCGATACTATGAGTTCACTCACTACTATGAGTTCACTCAATACTATTCATACAATACTCAATACCTACTATGAGACTGAGTCGTCGTCAAGAGTACGTTACACAATATTATCTATCAATGTCGATCGATCGAAATTGAATTCAAGAGATAGCCCTCAGATTGTTTATTTTTATTAATTTACATTCTAAAGTCCCACAACTTCTAAAACAATTTTGAAACGTCTTTCGCCATTGCAATTTGCAAGCTTACATTATAGGCCTGCCTTGTTGGCCGAGTGGTCGCAATTGCGACTGCCGGGCAAGGGGTCTCGGGTTCGATTCCCGGGTCGGGCAAAGTATTACTGGGTTTTAAAAAAAATCTCAGTTGTAGCACGGGGTCTGGAACTATGCCCGGTATATGGCAATAGGCTCACCCCCTATTACATGGGACTCATACCATAAATAGTAAAAAGTGGGTGTTACATTGTACAGTGGTATAATGTGCACCTCTGCCTACCCCTTCGAGGATAAATGTTATGTTATGTTACATTTTAGGTAGTAACAGTCTAGACATAATCAGAACTTTTTTAAATACCACGTAGGCAAAACTGTAGGCGGAACGCTAGTGTTTAACAAAACTAATTAAATGTTTACATTCTACACAGACATAACAACTACAAACAAAGAAGAAAAATTGCATTACATTTCATCATACCTACAATATTTAAACTAAAATATTTGTGTGTTATCAAATTTTTATTTAAATAAAATCAACATGGCGATGCTTTCACGTTGATATAATATTTGTTTTAAGATAATAATATAACTCAGTATCTACACAGAGTAAAATCCTTTTCTATATTTACGAAAATATCTTTCATCTATCATATTATAAGATGGTAGCAAAATATTTTTATTATGACTGTAATGATATTACGAAGCTTATCTGTCTGTTGTTATGTCCCAAGTACTGAATATAACGGCGGTAAAGAACATAATACCTATAAAAATAAATGTGCAGGCCTTAGACACTAAAGGACTGAATAAACTGATGTAGGTTAATATTAAACTGTCAAACACCAAGCGGTCACCGGTGACCGCAACCTATTGTTCTATAATTGTGTCTACAAAACCGGTACTCGACGAGTTAAGGGTATGTATACTTATGTAGGTGCAGCAATTTTACAGAATTGAATAACAAGAACCTAAATAATCGTTTATCGAATTAGCAATTAATACTTATTTAGAACACCTGGATGTGCATATAAGTTTAACCGTTCACTATACTCTTTTTTATTACTATTATTAGTATACGTTTTTTTAAATTTTAAAATTTATACTTATTTTAAAATTTCTTTTTCTTCGATCTTGCTGCCTCATTGTCTGTGGTCGCAAGTGCGACTGCCGGGCAAGGGGTTTCGGGTTTTACTAGGTTTTTTAAAAATCTGAGTATAGAAGCACGGAGTCTGGAAATGTGCCCGGTATATGGCAATAGGCTCACCCCCTATTACATGGGACTTATAATATAAACAGTGAAAAGTGGGTATAATGTGCACCTCTGCCTACCCCTTCGGGGATAAAAGGCGTGATGTTATGTTATGTTAAAAGTTGTATTTTCCATTACCTGTCTGCGTTTTTTGGGAGCGTTCTGTTTACACCCTATATAGGGTGGTAAATGGTAGGTAAATGCAAGTAAAACAATATAATATACAAAACGTCATCAACATAAATTGTTAGCGCAGCTTCTAAACATCTGAATCAATTGAATAGAAGAGTAATTTAGAAACATAATCCGGTGTTCACGAAATGAGATACAGTTTAATCACTCCGCCATGAGTTAGACCTTGACGGAGGTATAAAACAGAAACACTTAATAGTATTCCAATATACAGAATACAAAAGGTCCATAATATAATGAATGTAGAAAAGTTTACTCTCGCATCCTTACTAATATTATAAATCAGAAAGTGAGTTTGTTTGTTTGTTCCGCTTTCACGCCGTAACTACTAAACCGTTTTCTTTGAATTTTTGCAGACGTAAAGTTAGAAGTCTGGATTAAATAATAAGATACTTTTTATCCCGGAATAATTAGTTATTCTCGAGGAAAAACGAAATTATTGGTATAGATGGCGCTGTGTGTATTGGTATATGTCACATAGGCTACTTTTTATCCTTTTGACGCGAGCGAAGCCGCGGGTAAAAGCTAGTAGGTTATAATTGCAAAAGTATGTTTATTTGCCTTTAACTTAGGTACTTTGTAATGTGCATCAGAGCTGCAATGAAACAATTAAGCAACAAGAAGAATAAAATGATAATGTTTAACCCGTTGATACCCATCCCCTAAATTTGGTCATACAAAAGTATTCTCTAAACATTAGAAATAAGGTCTATAATGTAATGTAATATTAGTGGAAAGCGGTCACCGGTGACCGCTTGGGGATTTATGGGTAAAATAAACATGTACCTATTTATGAATAAGAAAATTAATTGTAAGATTCTCTCCTAACAGACGTTTATTTGTCACAATTAATCAGATAACATACATAACATTACGTCTTTTATCCCCAAATGAGTAGAAAGAGGTGCACATTATGAAACTTAATGCCAACTGTAGGTACAATGTAACATCCACTTTTCTCTATTTACCTATGTTATGAGTCCATGTAGGTAATATGGGGTGAGCCTATTGCCATATACCGAGCACGTTTCCAGTCTCCGTGCTCTTACTGACCAACCTACAGTAGTACTTTGCCCGATCCGGGAATCGTACCCGAGACCTCTTGCCTGGCAGACGTACTTGCGATTACTCAGCCAACGAGTACCTTTATACATTTTGTAAATATATTATAATAATATGAATCTTATCTAATTGAACCTTCTGATTTAGGTTGAGATGTGGATTGTACTTAGCGCCCACGAGTTACGAAGGCCACATATAAGCGTTGTTTACAAAATCATGCTTATTGATCTCAATATTTGCTTTGGATGTTGGATTAGTCCTGCTCCAAGTTTGTCATACTATATTCATTTACTATAACTGTATTTGGCTTATTAATAACTAGCAGCCCGTCCCGGCTTCGCACGGGCTACAATTATTTATTTTTGGAAATTTAGATTGTTATAGTGACATAACTACAATAGTTGGATATGCTACCGCGGAGTTTTTTGTAGATATTATGATGTTCTTCAATATTGTTGTACATTATTTTGTTCTATCGTTAATAGTTTCGGCAGCGCATTCGACGAAAGACATTTTAAGACTCATTTTTCTACACCTTTGTTTATATTGTTCAAACTTTGCCAAGGATTCCTAATTTTTTCAAAATGAAATGTAGCCTATGTCAAATTGGAAGAATGTAGCATTCTGTTGGTGAAAGAATTTTTTAAATCGGCCCAGTACTTTTTGAGCCTATTCATTACAAACATACAAAAATAGGTACAAATCTTTCCTCTTTATAATATTAGTATAGATAAGGGAAATATGTCCAATAGATGGCTCATAGATAATGTTTGATATTTTACTTTCGCTGGGCAATATTCTTAATCAATGAATCTACCTCTATGTGAGTGAGGCATGTATTTATCAAGCATCATTATAAAAAAAAAACTATGATAAATATGCTACAGTTTTCCTATCATGCACAAACATAAGAGAGTGGTCGCGAAAGTTAGCAACAGCTAAAGAATAAACGAACGAATGAAAATATACAATTGACATTGAATCATGACCCACTTTGTCGATAAATCGTATAAAATCACATTAATTTACCTTTCTTTTGATGATCTAAAAATACGTTTAGTATGGCTATACTATCGGTTCTTGTTGACATAAATAGAAACGTATATGACTACTTTGAGTAGCCCTTTACATTAGATTTATTAGTATCATGATATAGGGAAATGGACATGTCCCTGTGAAACATCACCAACAATGGCTTGTCCTCATTCAGAAAATACGCATAATAGAAGCATAATGTGAATTAATCACCTAATTACATAGACACATGTAATCCTCTTCGGTCCACTGCCCAAGGACTACCAAATAGATAGTTTTGTAAAATAAATGTACGAACATTACCCAACTGACCTTTAAAACGCGGTTTTCCCAACTTAACCACAAAACGGAATTGATTGAACTAAAACTTGAACTAAAGGGATTACTGATGAAGGGTTGTGTGGTTTTACATTGGGATAACGTCCGTGGAAAATCCGTTTTATATTTCGTTGGTTGAGATTTGCTATTGTGACTTAAATTTTTTTTTATGGCAAATGTCGGTAAAAGAGCAGACAGATCACCTGATGGTAAGCAATCGGCGTTGCCCATGGACAACTGGAACACCAGAGGCGTTACAAGTGCGTTACCGGCCTTTTGGGGATTAAAAGTTTAAGGATTGTTGGGGATTCAGGAATTGGGGAGAGCAGGTTTTTTTTAGGATAGAATTCACATACAAGGTTCATAATATTTCTGTCATGCAGCATGTTAATAATAATATTTGACTAATTTTATGTTCATTCATTTAATTCACAAAATATTAAAAACAATTTGGCATAATAGCGCATCATCCAAAAGTTTTGTTCTAAACGAAATCTGATAGCTAACCTTATATCCTATTAGACGCTTGCCGTTTTGGATTTATCGATAACCCGGGAGCAATTTGGAAAGAATAGGCTCCAAAATGAGGGTTCACCAAGAAAGAGACAAGGCGCGATAGCGATTTTATATGAACAAAATCTTGCTTTAATTATTTTCGTGACACATCCATGAGTGAAATACAACGAGCAAATGTAATTGAGTTTAAATAAGATATTACCGCTTTGCAAAGTACCAATCTGTAGAAGAAAAGAAAAATTTAATTTTTCACTTACTCAGAGAATCGTGATCGATTTACCTACTACCGTGACGTCAGATGTCAGAATCAGTCAGTCGAGTCTCAACATTAGTCGTCCGACTAAGTCGTCGTAGTAAACTCACCCCTAGAAGCGATCCCTAAGGACCATTTTCCATTGCTAACAGCTAAACAAATTTACTAAATCCTTTGCTGACACTTATTGGATATCGGAATGCCGATAAGTAGTAGGAAGATAAATATTGCGATTCTTTCTTTTCCATCAACGGAATTCAGGACAAAAGCAGGGAATGTTTCTATTCAAAAATATGTTAAACAAATACGGCCTATAAAATATATGCAGTGAAAGGAAAGTACCTGCTCGTTGGATCGTATTCCTTCTGTTCCCTTATGGTTACGCTAACGATCGAGGCGACTAATGGAGCAAACGGAACAAATAGTTTATGTGCTTAGGGAAACGGTATCGGATATCTTATTTGTAGTGAAAAAATAGAAAGAAATGTTTCTTAGTCAGATGTCTGATAAAATGTCGGAAACGAAATCTGATAAAGGTTTGAAGGCAAAAAATAGTCAAGTATTTCGAAGTTTACTTTTGTTTAGTTATATTTATATTAAACTGTCAAACACCAAGCGGTCACCGGTGACCGCAACCTATTGTTCTATAATTGTGTCTACAAAACCGGTACTCGACGAGTTAAGGTACTAGTTATCAGTATGTAAGGTACTGCTACGGCATGATATAGAGTTGATACGTCGTACGACAAAGACATTATAAACTAGTGAGACAGAAACAAGACAACAGAACCAAGTACAACTATGTTAGGTATAACTCATTACATTGTTAATCTTTGTCTAGCTACAACTTTACGGGCATCGCTTGCAAATTATTTATTATGCATACAAATTACAATGCGAACACACAAAAGCCAGAGAGCACTTATACAGAGAGAATTAGATGAATAAATGATAAGGCTCTAAATTGATGGAATATTTAGATGATGAAATATTCCGCAGCTTGGAGAGTGTTAACATGTAAACCTGTCAATACGTTACCAAGGCATTATCGATCGTGGTACATACGACCGACGGGAGTAATTTGAGTGATCATTAATACTGGTACCTACTCCAATTATTTGAGATGTATAGGGGCCGATCTTTGCTTTTGCTCTTGTTTGAGAGAAACTCGCAATTTTAAGGGTGAGTTTAGTAATTAAGGCGAAATTTGTAAGCGATGCCGATAATGATAATAAGGAACAATGTTGAAAGGGTTTTGATACAATGGAAATTCGTAGGCAATGTAACATGGAGATACTTATAATAAGAATGAGTGGGGTAGAAAGCAACGAACGCAATATGAAATATTTATCTCACGTGATGAAACCTCATTTATGACTCCATCAAGAACAAGTTTCGGAAAGACACTAATAAAATATTTTCTTTGACCATTACGACATAATCAATATCGCTTACTGGGGGATTGCATTTGTGACTGTGACCAATCAATAAAGAAAGATTTTGCTCTAAATCCAACTAAATGCTTTGCTTCCTTTTTTTCCAGGTTGGCCACGACTGGGGCTATTACACGATGGTGACAGATCTCCCGAAGTACTCCCACGATGTTTTGAAGTTCAACATTGCTACCACGGGTACCCTCACTGCCTTACCTTACATTGCCATGTGGGTTAGCTCCTTCCTCTTTGGCCTCGTCTGTGACGTCTGCATCAAGAAGGGATGGCATACTATCAAGACTGGAAGAATTATTCACACAACTATTGGTAAGAATGAAACATATTTAAGATATTAGCATAACAACTACTCAAAAATTGTCAACTTTAATACAAAGCTATAAGATTAAAAGTCTAACGTCTACGTCTATACATACGCTGACCAAAGTATTAGTTAAAGAGAGATTTCTCACTTTATGAATTACCTTTATTTAACAGTCGATCTGATTTTTTTAGGTTCATAATCCAATTGACGATTAAGGTCATCAATGCTAAGATTTTAATGAAATCTTATAAGAGCCAATTTAATTTAAAATTTCCTTATCAAAAGTAACAGCGACAAATATTAATTAGTACTGATCTTAAATATTGTTCTATATCAAGATTGTACAATTCACTATACGTTTCTATTTTAAAATTTCAGCTGCAACCGGTCCAGCTATCTGCATTATCCTGGCGTCTTATGCGGGCTGCGACAGAACCGCTGCGATGGTGTACTTTGTCTTGTCTATGGCCCTCATGGGAGGCTTCTACAGTGGAATGAAGGTACGTAACAAGTTTTCGTACAAAAGCGTCTCAAATAAATAAAGAGATGACTTTTTGTTTTCAAACGTTGAGCAAGAATGTATAATATAAGAACATAAAACCATTTCATTATTATGAACTAAATACTATAGGATTCATAATATAATTGGAACTTAAGCACTCAATCATAAAGACACATTTGGAGCTTCGCAATAAGATCTCGTGCAACTGGAACGATAAAAAAATGAAAAATCTGGAGTGCCTAAAATTCTACAAACGCAAATACTCTAATAAAGATCTGTCCCACGTCCGAAAACAAAAGCCAGTGACTTCAACAGACAAAAATAAACATTTAATCTTATTGAGAAGAAAAACAACACAAAACCCCACTTAACCCTCTTAACATTGAAATAATAGAAACTGTTTAATGGGGTAAGTTAAAATTTATTACGGCTGCAAAATCTTGCTATAGAACAGAGTGTATTTTTATCAAGAAAAAGGTTTCTTCCAGAATTTTCCCTAAATTAAGGCACTTCGTATTACTTACGGTATCCCCAAAGGTGTAGCTTATCAAGAGTCACGGTACTAAAGTACTCAGTTACGTTTTCTGGCTTTTGTGATCTCATTATTAATGCATGAGCAAAAAATTACGTTCAAATTGCGTTTCAAGTGTGCAAAAAAGTTTATATTAAACATTTTACTTGCAATATTTTTCAGACAAAATTCAAATTTAGATAATCTCATAACATGACATTTGAATATAGTAAATTATTGGTTTATTCTTTAGGTAAACGCTTTGGATTTGGCGCCCAACTACGCTGGAACTCTAACGTCACTTGTGAACACGACGTCAACCTTCGCTGGAATCATCACTCCGTACCTAATCGGTTTACTGACACCTGACGTAAGTATATGTATAATCTTTATCTTCTACACAACTTTTCTTACTTACCTATATCTCCAATTTTTTTTCTCTGTTTCGCTTTTGTCTACGTGAAACAATACTTGCGATGGGTTTCGTCGTATGAGTGAGGTTACCAGAGGCCCAATTATCCACCTTTCCCCCAAGTCCTGAATCCCCAACAATCCTTAAATGCCTAATCCCAAAAGTACTTGTAACGCTTCTCGCGTTCCTAATGTCCGTGGCCGATGCCGATTGCTCTCATCAGTCTCATCAGATAATCCGTCTGCTCGTTTACCAGCTTATCCTATAAAAAAAACAATTATTAAACCTGCAAATGCGTTTCATTTCTTTTCTATCGTGACTTAAAGTCATGACATAAAGCCATACCCCTAAAAGAAGCAAGGTCTATCTACAGAGGTCCTCCATCATCGTTATGCTTAACCTTTCTTGTCTATAATCCCCTTGAATGTATCAGCTATGCTCCACTGTCCAAACGAACAAACACAATAACAAAATTGGCAGTCCTACGTGGGTCGTTAGAATACATTATTCTAGCCCCGTAAATTTCCGTACTAATCGACCTGTTGCTATCAACACAGTCACACCCTACCTCCTCTTTGATATTTGATAAAGTCTACACGTTACTGTATTTAGGTTAATTGCTTCTTACGTCGTAAAAACACGAATGAATAAATTTAACTTTACTCAGTTGAATTTACGATTGGATTTTGTATTACATTTTAAACTGTCAAACACCAAGCGGCCACCGGTGACCGCAACCTATTGTTCTATAATTGTGTCTACAAAACCGGTCCTCGACGAGTTAAGGGCGTTAAATGCGTGATACACGAATTGTAACCTATATCTTAATTATTTGTTTCATTTGAGTAGATAAAAAGAGAAAGACAGAGAAGAGTATAGTAAAGAGAGAGAAGTTCATAAATACATACGAAAGTGGATATTTTGATTTTGATTAAATGATGTCTAACTTTACCGCCTATGTATTTTCAAATTTGTAGGAAATATGAAAAATGGAAGATACTGAATCGAATAATAATGTACTGAAAATAAAATACTCTCAATAACTGTGTAATAATGCTAATAATAATCCATTTATAAATACGATTTCAATAGCGATTCAACTGATTCTTATAGTTCAATAAAATTTTACGCTGCTTTAAAAATAACATTCAATATTCATTTTCATTCATTCAATAAACATCGGGAACAAAGTGGACGTTATCTTAATATTTCGAGGTCAAAACACAACAGCATATAAATCATAAACAAGTTCAAGTAAACAAAGGCCAACGAATACTGGCTAATCCGTACTATTGTGAAAAAAATTGAAGCCAAACCAAGCAAAGTTGATCTATTTTCGAATAAGAAATTTGACGAAGAATTATTGTTTTTTTTTAATACCACTGTTTTCTAATCCGAGGGAGGTTGTACAATAAATCGAAACCTACATAGAATGACAAAGTTATTTATCTTATCAGAGACTAGGTCATGCTTCCTAGACTGAAGTTCTAAACTAACAAAGCGAAGTAACAATGGGAAAGTAACTTCTATAAATGGACAAAAGCCTCTCCAAGTTGGACAACATTATCTTGTAATCTGTTTCTCTTGTACTCTGGTTACTTTGTTTCAAGGCGGATTTGTCAAGGGCTTTCAACTAGGAGGTTAGATATCCCACTTCTGAGGATAAGTGTGTAATAGGGGTGTCTTAGTCTTTATAATCTTGGTTTTATTTTCGTTATATTAATTATAAGATATTAAAGATTTTTATCGCGATAAAATTGTTTGGTTTTTATATCACCGACCAAAGCCTTACTTTGGAATCAAAATATGTTTGATAACTAACTATTCTAAATAAGACCAAAGGTTTAAGCAAGTGCGAGGTTATTTATTTTACAATACTTCGCACATAGCCATTGTCAGCACAGAACACAGATTTGTCAACTAAATCCGTCTAAATAATATCCTCTTTTGTTTCAGTCAACGCTAGCACAATGGCGAGTAGCGTTCTGGGTATGCTTCGCAGTGCTGGTAGGCACAAACGTAATCTACTGCATTTGGGCTGACGGCAAACAGCAATGGTGGGATGACGTCAGACAATTCGGTTACCCTGAAGGCTGGAAACATGGCCCATTAACCAGAGACACCGTAGAACAACCAGAATCCGTCAGATTATCAGACCACAAGGCCAGTTCATCATGATTTAGTAGAAAGAGACAATACACCCAGTGCAACTAGTCAGTGATGAAAGAATATAATAAACTAATATTTTATAGTACAACTTACAGTGCCTTATAATCTTAAGTTCTCATGAACGTAATAATAGTATAGACGAATTTATAATCGAATTGTTTCTTATAATAAATCTCCTTTTTTAATACTTTTCTTTGTGTTATTTCATTTTGGCAAAACAGTATTGAATCTGCTTTGTTGTGTTGTACATTTTAAAACTTGTTACTTGTAACTATGCAATCGTTTTATTATTTAGGTACCTACTAGCTGACCCAGCTAACTTCGTACCGCCTCTATTTTTTTATCACCTTTTAGACCTTCCCTGGAGTTCCTCGAACATTTCAAGACCAAGATTAGTCAAATTGGTTCAGCAGTTCTCGAGGTTTAGCAAGACTAACGAATGAAAAATCATTATTATTTATATAGATAAAATTTTATACGTTCTGTGGTAAAGAAATTACAACGCTAAAGCGCGAAGAAATGTTTTTCAGCTCGGGTGTCAATACATAAGGGAAAAAGCTGTTTGAACAAACGTTGCGTGCATCGTGTGGCGTCTATAACGTGGCGCCATGCAAGTAAATTATCTCATAGACGACTTTGTGATTTAACAACAATTTGTGACAAAAGCAAACAATATTGATACCTAAGCTGTAGGTACTTACACTATCCGTATATAGATATTATCCTAATGTGCTTTAAACATAGTTTGGGATGAAATTACTTATACCACTTTGAGCTTAAACTATAGTTAATATTGAGTCTAAAATAATATACATAGATGCATGATATATGATATAATTATTCCACATATGACTTTTGATATTTAATTGGTTTTATAGCCTAAATATATTATAGCACTCTAGAGTATAGGAAGTTGTGAGATTGTGACTACATAAATCTGTAACCGACACTTGAATCGACCCAGACCTTATCATGGTAGGATAAATGAAAAGTCAGTAAACATAAACATTATAGGAAATTATGATCTCAAACTTGCCAAGAAACTACTAACGTTCACCAAAACTTCACAAACTACCTACATACAAATAAAATCATATAAAACTTTAAGCAACTAATACGAAACTTTATCATTAAGGGTATAAACTTGATAATTGTGACGAAGGTTAATTAGTGACGTCAAACGTCCTCCTTCAAGGTTTAGTGATTGAAAGCTGGAAATTAATGTTCCGTTTCGATACTGAAACTGTCGATAAGAAGTTTGTGAAGTTCGACAGTGTTCGTGTTATTTGACCCAAGATAGTATCGACAAGGCAATGTTTGATTTGAACTTTGTAATTTCTAGTACATTGCAAACTGTCGATACCTAACCATCTTAAGCAGAACAAGCTACATGATAGAATCAATATTTAAAGGAATGGCCTCAAAATGACCTAAAAGTTCTTTAAAAAATACAAATCTATACAATGTTCGTTATTCTCGAAATAAGGCATTCATCTAAAAATCTGATATTTGAGGAGAATCCAAAATACTTTGGATGCTTAACTCCAAAATAAATGGAAAAAATATACACAATAAAACACGCTACAAAATCAAGTATATTGTTATTATAATAATTTTAATCAATTTCGATTATTTCATACAATATTTCCAACATAAAAAATATAACATGATCTAATTAATAGCAACAACAAGTAAAATTACGCCAAAAAAGACATTACATACGAAGGAGCAAAATTTTATAACAGTTTACCGTCCCACATAAAAAATGTAAGCTCTTTCAGCGGTTTTAAATCTCAACTAAGTAAATATATAATTGAAACAAGTCACTAGCCTACTGGTTGAGAATGAAACCGTTGAACGGGTAAAATGGCACTATACCTATTTATTGTTAATTTTGTTCTTTATATTAAGCATGTATCATTAATTTTATTGTAATGTGTTTTGATTGATTGTATCGGTGACCTTATTTAGTTTATTTACTTTATGTTAGCTTATATTCTCATGTAAGTGGCTTCCTTTGTCTTTTTGAGAATAAACTATTTAAACCAAAAAAAAAAAAAAAACACATTTTTAACAAAATCTTTAGATAAAAATATCATTGGATTTTCGTCTTTAAGCATAACAAACACAATACTTACTGTTGAAGTGATACAAATGATTGAATTGATAGAGTAATTAGGTTAATTTTTGTTTGACAGTTGTACCAGCAGTTTCATCCTACATGATGACGGTGGTGTAAATTACTTTGAGCCAGTACTGTTTTGCGAGCATGCCTCAACTCTTTGGAGGCTCGTGATACCTGAGTCTCCAGTTGTTTCTTCCTTTGTCCTAGTTGGACCACCTAAAATAAAATAACGGTTCATTATTATGTTTTGAAACATATTTTTTTTTATTATTTCAGTTTGAGGCAAACAATAATAACAATGGATGAACAACTGCAATAATCATGAACTTAATAATACGTAATAATTCTTTTTATTTATTTATTTATAATTTCATGTACCTACTCCACGCAGACAATATTATAAGGGAAACACATAATAAGCATAAGGTACATAGGTACTGCATATCCCTTAAGGGATTTCTTCCTACAGACCTTTTAATTAGTTATACGAAAAAATTGTTATACCTATTTGCCCATAAAACCAAGAAGTCAAGCTTTTATAAAACTCCATCGTTCATAGCCAGATACAAACACAAAGTTCGACACACGATAGCAACGCTAAATGATAAGAACTATGCTTCAGCTTGAAAACTAATCAGAGGGGTTGCAACTTTTCCGAAACTATATCGATTCCTTCGATAAAATGTCCAGAGGATTTTCTGACGATTTTCCTAGTCCCTTGTAAAGTGGAAGAGATAAACTACGGACTTTTCCAATGATGCTGAACATAAAACAAAGCTAAAATCACCCTAGGGTACTATTGAAACAAAATGGCTTCAAAGTTCAGCATCACATCCATTCTTTTTAACTATAGCCTCGTGCAGTAATGTTCTATAAATATCATTTACCTCGTCCAAGGAAGCTTGGAAGTCTCGCAGTAAATCTTTTCTCGTTAGGAGACCTGCTTTGAGTCTTTCTTCTTCCAACGACCAGCGAAGTTTATTGCGACGGCTCTGTTAATAAAAAGAGTGTAAATTGCCTACTAGAATTTTATGGTAATTGCATTTGGCCAGTACAAATAAAATGTTATTTAAGAGTGGTAGATTACAATCAATTACCACAAACCCATCTTGATCCACTCTAATGGCTAATTCGGAGCTCCACAAAACGCAAACTCCTAGTCAACTACTGCAGTTAATTTAAAACAAGGATCAAGAGAACCAATTACCTTAATCATGCCGAGATCTTCTCGAGCCCTGTAAAATTCCATTTCAGCGTCCCCAAGATCACATTCGGCAAAGTCAATGACCTCGTCAGTGTGATGCATCTTCTCTCTGATGTGAGCCAAGATTTGGTTATGCTCTGTACACTTCGTGCGGTTTTTTATAAGTTCGTCTTCACGTTCTGTGAAAAACGTAATTAATTTTGTTATGGCCAATTGAAAATGGTGTCAGACTCATGAAAGGATCATTCGGAATGAATTGTAATGTTGTTTTCCTGTATTTGCCTTAGTCCACAAAGAGAACGGCGTACATATAATAGCGATATTCACAAAGTATGATTTAGCAAATAAAAAGGCAAAAAAGAGTGCCATTCAACTTGGGGAGTTCACTGTCTTTTAGCATTGAAGTTTAAAAATTACCTTCGATCTTGGTGTTGTAATTCTGGTTGTCAATATTAAGCTGCTCATACTGATATACATAAAGTCCTGGTCCAAGAGTTTCCAGATTTTTCACAATGGCTTCAAGTTCGGCAACTGCATTCCTCGCTCGTATATATCGAAGACATAGAGCCGAAGATTGTTCACTCTTACGCCTTTGAAGAGTAAGAAACCTTTCTACGGTCTAAAATATTAAAAAAAGTTGTAATCTATTTGATAAAGTAAAGATAACGATGTGGTCTAATAATTAGCTTGGACTTAGATTATATCGAAGAAAGTAGGAGTATTTTAAAGTAAGTCATTAATTACTTGCATATTTGTCGATTTTTCAATCAACGATTTATCTGAATATTTTCTTGAGTTTTAAGTTTTTAATGTTTGAGTAAGGGCTCGTACACAAAACTGCGATGCGAATTCGCAACGCAAAATAATATTACGATGCGAATTGCTGTGACGCGATTTCGTGCGACAAGGCGTCTCCCAGGGCGATCATTCCTTTGACGACCAACAACCGTACTAAACGTATTTTAAATTTAAAATTAGGTCGTGACATGCATTGTAAAAAGAAGTGTGCACTTTTGTTATTGCTTATGAGATACAGGAAAAAGAAACAGAAGATTTTGATGCGCGATGTGAATAAATTTGCAACATCTTGCGATGCGTAGAGGGAGCTCCCACATTTTTGCAATGCGAAGTCGCATCGCAGTTTTGTGTACAAGCTTTAATATCGTACCTTATCAGCTATAGGTTTCCCCTTTCTAGAATAAATAAGACCTGAACCAGTGGATCTTTCTAGATGTTGCAATCCTTCAAACTTCTTGTTGGCATGTTCATGCCTTCCAGCATACGTTTCTTCGACCTCACTAACTTTCTTTCTTATCTATATAAGGAGTTTTTCATTAGTTCAATATTTTTACCGTGATTATATTTGTTAAAGCACCGGTAATTCTTAGACCGTTGTATTTGTACACAGCAACCTTCTTGCTGATATTGAAAAATATTATAATTATTATTACCATTAAAGTGGTAATATAAAAACCTCTTGTTGAATGTTATTTTTAGTTAAATGAAGAATGAACATGTTTTAACTTTTACTCGAAAAATAACTAATTTTGCAAATTATGTGTTTTTCAAGATGAAAATAAGCGTGAAATTTTTCTGAATTACTTAAAAACTTTTTTGTTTTGTTTATCCTGTGTTTTGAACATCTGAGTTTGTTACAAGAAACTTAGACCTTACATCAGCAATTTCCCTTTCAGCTTTCTCCTTGAGTTCTTCATAAGAAAGTAGCTTCTGTTGATATTTTTCTTCCAAATCCACAGCGCCTTCCAAAGGTTTCAAAACATGTTCACATTTACGTTTCCTGAAACGATACATTTTACTCAACGTTTTGTTTGTATCTTTTTGTTTTTAAGATAAACATATTCG